ATATATGAGTAAATATCTGAAAGGCGCGCTGAAAACATATTTTGTCCTAATATAGTGCGTTGTTATTGAGCCCCATTTTAATATACTATTAGACAGTCGTTCCCTTCAAAATTCACAGTAATTACATTATATTATTATAATTCATTCTTTTTTTGCTATACACATTAGGGCAGTCTCTTTCAGGAGCAATATTGTAAAGATATAACCTCGAGATTTTCTTTTTTTGTTTAACACACCACTCCATGTTTTTGATAGTATGCAGGAATATTCGCATTGGTACCAACAGGTACATTCCTGTCCTACCTTATGGTCAGCTACTCAAGAAGTAACTAAGGTAATGCAACCATGGGTATTTGGTGAGTCTTATACAGGTAGTTGATGAGCCAATGATGTGTCATTGACCATCTTCTTAAAATTTATATAAGTCCTCTAATTTAGTCTGACATATATTATATAGAATGAAATTATTAGATAGAGGACAGATTGCAAATGATTATTAGGAGTAATTACAGAACTGATCAAAAGAATACTTAAAACAAATAAGAATATTTAGATTCAGAAAAGAAGCTTATAGTAAGGACTTAGAACAAAGAGAGAGACTTAAAGTTAACACAGTTGTATAATCAATTGATGGTGATTAAAATAAAAGGAAAACAAGAAGTGTATAAAGTCTACCGAATTATAATTTGACTTCCACTCTTGTGGGTCAATATGGACCCCAACATGACAGTATCTTAAAATAAATAATTCATTTTAAATTTATATTTAGACGAAGGTTTTCTATTCATCAATAAATTAACATTGTATGTTGTGGTATTAACATTCCACAACGTATATATTCGTTTTTTATTTTATTTTTTTTCCTGGCTATAATATTTCCAAGTAATCTTGAATACTTGCCAATGTTTATTACGATACTGTTGCTATATAATACTTTCTGCATTAAGTTACACAAAAATCGATACGAATAGTTCATTATTCTAATAAAGGCTAAAGTTAATAACACTAACATTTGCACAATAATACAACAGCCTAGAGCACTTTTAATCATAAGATCCTAATTTGAGTAAGGACAAAATGTTTGTGACGATCTACCGTCCATACGCGTACACAGCTCTGGAAAAAAAATATCTCAGCACCATTCTTTTAAATGTCTTACCATTATTGGCATAGTTTGAGTTCCTATTTGTATCCATTAAAACATCGTAAATGAATAATTTTACAATAACACAAATCTACAAAACATTGGACAAGTACTACAAAAGCCACGCATGTGAGAATTCATTATTCAAATTACGGTAATACAGTACAGTGAAAGGAGAAGCAGAGTTTTCAGTGTGTAGTAGGTAAGTGGAACGTACCACTTCAGTGAGTGCGACTGATATAAACACGTCTATGTTCACTTAATATAATGAAATAAAATAAATTTTAAATTGACCAAATAAATCAATACGTGACTTTCATTAGCAGAGTTAAAGTCGTAGTAGTAGTCAATGTTATGCTTTAGAATATTCTGTTATATATGGCAATACTTGCAGCATTTGGCCGACAGGGCGTCACAGAATAATTATTTACGTGATACTCCTGTGCGCAGGGGGTAATAGTTTTCAACTTCCGGACCCCACCGCCTCACCACCACCGTTGACATGTTAAAGTGCTTTTTAGCTTCAGCAGTTTTTGTTCTTTAGGGGCTGGGATCATTTATAAGAATAATTTTTAGACTAACATTGTTGGCTTTTAAGTCTGTAAAAAGATGGGATGGTTTTAAGACATAAGACGGTTCTCCAAGTCATTTAAACTTATGCTATTTATACAGGAGTTCCTTTTTTTTCCTGCACCACTTTCTGCAAATATCTGGACCCGCCCCAGTATCTCACATCCTCGCGTATACCATTAAAATAGACAATATTAAGGTATTCATGATAGCCTTCAGAAATATTTAGCAAGTGATCCGACCATTGTGGTAATAGATGCACATCGCTAGGAGTGAGACGGGGACAGTGAAGATGTGGGTGATTTGTTTTGTAAGTATTCGGAAGTGTATTTTCCTCTATTCCAAGGAACTCAGAATGGCAACATAAATAAAATGAAGTAATTTTAAGTTCATCCGCATTGATATAGAGTAATAATACCGGTACTGTACTTTTGAAATAATGCCGGGTACATGATCATAAAGAAATTAAGCAGTACGCATATTTTCAATAGATATATTCCACAAAGGTTTGGAACGCTTAGAGATATGCTTAGAGATGGGTTCTCTGCAACTGCGGCGAAAGCGGGTGGAAGATGGCTATAGGGCCCTTTGGGCCTCTTCACTATTTCTACTGGGGAGGGGACGTATATCCTCTATAAAATGTTATAATTAACTTGTTTTTTCTCTCATTTTCAAACGAATGAGCAACGAGTGTGTACACATGTTAATATCTGTTTCTGTATATTTTCTTTGAAACTTATCCTTTGAACATACAGAAAAAATGGAATCCCAAACATTGTTTTAATGCGGGCGCAGATAGGCAAACCTTATAGAGTGACGCTTTAGTTCTCTTTATGAAGATATAAATGCAAGTGTAATTGAATGGCTTACAGTAAACAAGTACAACTAGCGTAATCAGGGGTGACGCCAGCAAAGTTGGGGTGGGGGGAATGACTGAGGCCAGGGACTCCCGGCGGGGAAAAAAAGCAGAATTCGTCGGGAGAAATATAATTATATGTATTTTCTACATATTATCATACCCCGAATTCGATTAAATAAGCATATGCAACCCCTAAATTTTCAACAACTTTCAAAACCTTTTAATCGAAGCTCCACCACACCCACTTTGCTTTCATCGGGGAAATCTGACCCGTCCTCCTTGGTATCGCCCCCCCCCCCCGCAAATGTTGGTATTTACAATTCCAATTACAATGTTCTCAGGGACTCAAAAGCACTAGCATTAGGCCTACTGTAGATCTACCGTACTAAATTAGAATTAGGCCAAAAAATAAATTGTTTTGGCCGCGTTTTGCGACGTCCACACAATCTAAAGGTCCCTAATTCTACATCTGATGACGTCATTTTAAGTGAATGTGTTATCGGTCATATCCTGCTATATTCAATTTCGATGAATTGATCAGTATACTGAATAGAAAAAAAACACGATTATATAACATGATAATTGAATAATAAACAAATTTACAATTAATAGTTGGCCTATAACCTCTTCTCTTTCTTCTTGGTATATAGGCCTAAATATTTATTTTAATTCAATCCTATTAACTTAGGCTCTAACATTTTAATTTCACAATCAAGTGCTCTAAAAGAACTCTGCGGTACGGTGCGTATTCGTTTTTAAAATTAATGTCGGATTATAGTTCTTTATATTTGCATGTTCGCATTGGGACTTAAAAACACTATTGCATTTTTCATTTTTAAGCATTACTGTAGACCTACCGTACTAAATGACAATTAGGTTAAAAAAAATTGTTTTGGCCACGTTTTGGGAAAATCCAAAACCTTAATTAATGTGCAGCTAAAATGACGAAAGTTGCGTCGTGTGCTACAAGATCAATTAAGTACTAATACACCACGGGCATACCTTCTGATTGCTTGAACAGTAAAAGAAAGAAAGAAAAATAAAAAAAACTTTTGTAATTTTATAAACTTATAAACATGGTTTTGCAAGTGTATAATAAGAACTTTTCTTGACATATTATACCTCCATGAAAAACCGAGTAGAAATGGTAGAAAATAGTATTTCCATAGGCTCTATGCGCTTAATAGAGATACGGGCCACGAGTGTTAATAAAGAATACTGTAGAAAGAAAACAGGAAAACGAAGTAAATTTAAAAACACAATTTTTTATTCCCACTAATATGACCTCTGGTCCTCCTCAGCATGACTGATTTATAAACATGTATAAGTTGGCATAATGTAATATCTAATTAATCGCATGGTACTCTGTCATGGTAATAAAACAAACAAGAGTGTAAATTACTTTCAGTGTTATGGTTTCGTTTCTTGGAGTTTTCGATGACGTCTCGTCATCTTCGTCAGCAGTTTGAATCTGACGGTTAACTGATACATCAGCATTGATATTCGTGTGAAAGATAACTTACACTATTGTGTTCAATAGGCCTATCTATTATTTTTTTTTAATAGTTTTTTATCTGCCTTTGTATATTGATGGTAATACTATTTAGCACCGGCTGGCACAGAGGGTGACATCGTGATCCAACACATTTTATTTGTTTATTCTTCTTATTCATGTATTTATAATTATGATATGTCATTATTATTTTTCACCACGCATGATCTCATCTAGTGAGAAAATGTGATACCTAGTACACATACTTTGATTTTGTTTATCTTCTTTATCGTGTATAAAATGTGTCGTGTAAATCATCAAAAACCAAGATTTGCCTTTACATGTGAATGGCACGATTTGTTCACACTGAACTTTACTCCTATTTTCTAAGATGGTAACAAAGCCGTTTGGGGCATCTGATGATTCTTTGTCGTGTTTTACTGGTCTTAGGCGGATCGTTTTGTCAGTATGTGTATCTTGTTCCAAATGCCACAATCCCTCCCATGTTGGCCTATCCTGTATCTTCAGTGAAGACGCTTCGACCTTGGATGCTACAGTGATTTCAAATGTTTCAAACACTCTTGCTGATTTAGATTCTGACATTTCATTTGTTTCTGGTGGCTTTTCCATTCTCGTCTCTCTTTTTTTATCGTATTTTAGTTTAATCCTTTCTGACGAGCCCTTACTTACTTTATTTTCTGATGCTTTCTCCTTAAATAATGAAGATTCTTCAGTAAGCGATGCACTTTCAGATTCTTTTGCTAATTTACTTCCAGATGACTTTCCTTTTGACTTGGTTGGCAATTGTTTGGTGACCTTCTTAACAAATCTAACGAGTGATCTCTGTTTCTTTAAATGGTCTGATGACCCTTCTAATGAATCTCCTTGTTCATCCATTGTTAGCATTACTTGTTCATCGTCTGTTAGTTTATTTGTTTCTGATGAACCTTCTTTTATTGTATTTCCTGTTAGTTCCTCTTTAATCGATACAGATTCTTCAAGCATAACACTTTCAGACTCTTTTTCATCATCTGTCAGTTCATTTGTTTCTGATGGTTCTTCCATTTTTGTCACTATTTCTTCATCCTCTTTTAGTTCATTTGTTTCTGGTAATGGGGATTTTTCAGTAAGCGATGCACTTTCAGATTCTTTTGCTAATTTACTTCTTTGTGACTTTCTTTTTGATTTGGTTGGCGATTTATTGGTGACTTTCTTAACAAATCTGCCAAGTGATCTCCGTTTCTTAAAATTGTCTGAGGACCCTTCTAATGAATCTCCTTGTTGTTCTTCCATTGTTAACATTACTTGTTCATCGTCTGTTTGTTTATATGTTTCTAGTGAGCCTTCCTTTATTGTATTTCCTGTTAGTTCCCCCTTAATCAATACAACAGATTCTTCAAGCATAACACTTTCAGACTCTTTTTTATCATCTGTCAGTTCATTTGTTTCTGGTGGCTCTTCCATTTTTGTCACTATTTCTTCATCCTCTTTAAGTTCATTTGTTTCTGATGAACCCTTTCTTATTTTACTTTCTGTTGATTCCTCCTTAATGAATAGAGATACTTCAGTAAGCGATGCATTTTCAGATTCTTTTGCTAATTTACTTCTAGGTGACTTTCTTTTTGACTTGGTTGGCAATTTATTGGTAACCTTCTTAGCAAATCTGCCGAGTGATCTCTGTTTCTTAAAATTGTCTGATGACCTTTTTAATGAATCTCCTTGTTGCTTTTCCATTGTTAACATTACTTGTTCTTCATCTGTTAGTTTACTTGTTTCTAGTGAGCCTTCTTTTATTGTATTTCCTGTTAGTTCCTCCTTAATCAATACAGATTCTTCAAGCATAACATTTTCAGAATCTTTTTTATTATCTGTCAGTTCATTTGATTCTGATGGCTCTTCCATTTTTGTCACTATTTCTTCATCCTCTTTTAGTTCATTTGTTTCTGATGAGCCCTTTCTTATTTTATTTCCTGTTGATTCCTCCTTAATGAATGGGGATTCTTCAGTAAGCGATACACTTTCAGATTCTTTTGCTAATTTACTTCTAGGTGACTCTCTTTTTGATTTGGTTGGCGATTTATTGGTGATTTTCTTAACAAATCTGCCGAGTGATCTTTGTTTCTTAAAATTGTTTGATGACCCTTCTAATGAATCTCCTTGTTGTTCTTCCCTTGTTAACATTACTTGTTCATCGTCTGTTAGTTTATTTGTTTCTAGTGAGCCTTCTTTTATTGTATTTCCTGTTAGTTCCTCCTTAATCAATACAACAGATTCTTCAAGCATAACACTTTCAGACTCTATTTCATCATCTGTCAGTTCACTTGTTTCTGGTTGCTCTTCCAATTTTGTCATTATTTCTTCATCGTCTTTTAGTTCATTTGCTTCTGATAAGCCCTTTCTTATTTTATTTTCTGTTGATTCCTCCTCCTTAATGAATGAAGATACTTCAGTAAGCGATGCATATTCAGATTCGTTTGCTAATTTACTTCTAGGTGACTTTCTTTTTGACTTAGTTAGCAATTTATTGGTAACCTTCATAGCAAATCTGCCGAGTGAACTCTGTTTCTTAAAATTGTCTGATGACCTTTTTAATGAATCTCCTTGTTGCTCTTCCATTGTTAACATTACTTGTTCATCATCTGTTAGTTTACTAGTTTCTAGTGAGCCTTCTTTTATTGTATTTCCTGTTAGTTCCTCCTTACTCAATACAAATTCTTCAAGCATAACACTTTCAGACTCTTTTTCATTATCTGTCAGTTCATTTGTTTCTGGTGGCTCTTCCATTTTTGTCACTATTTCTTCATCATCTTTAAGTTCATTTGTTTCTGATGAGCCCTTTGTTTTATTTCCTGTTGATTCCTCCTTAAAGGATTGGGATTCTTCAGTAAGCGATGCACTTTCAGATTCTTTTGCTAATTCACTTCTAGGTGACTTTCTTTTAGACTTGGTTGGCAATTTATTGGTAACCTTCTTAGCAAATCTGCCGAGTGATCTCTGTTTCTTAAAATTGTCTGATGACCCTTCTAATGAATCTTCTTGTTGTTCTTCCATTGTTAACATTACTTGTTCATTGTCTGTTAAGTTATTTGTTTCTGATGAGCCTTCTTCTAATGTATTTGCTGTTAGTTCCTCCATAATCAATACAGATTCTTCAAGCACAACACTTTCAGACACTTTTTCATCATCTGTCAGATCATTTGTTTCTGGTGAGCCTTCATTTATTACATGTTCCATTGATTTATCATTATTAACTGAGGATACTTCAGTTGTGGATACAATTTCGTATTCTTGTGTTGATTCATTTATAAATGACTCTCTAATAAATAATAGTGCATTAGTGGCCTTTCTAGCTGCTTTATTCAACAAATTCCGTTTCGGTAAACTTTGAAATGATACTTTTACAGAGTCTTCAGATGGATTTTCTAAAATTAATGTTCCCGTTTCATCGTTTGCCGGTTCATCTGTTTCAGGTAAACTCTCTTTTATTCCATTTACAGGTGATCCTTCACCTTTCTTAGCAAAACTCACAGCTCCCTGCTGCCCTGAAGTCTCCTCAATGCATTCCATTGATGACGCGCCGACTAAAGAACCATTAATAATGGCAAAACTGACTACGGGCATTTGAAAGTGCCAGTCCTGAAATATACAGTATAGAAGAATATAATTAGTAACACATTGTTATTATCGTTAAAATAATCCTGAACGATTTGTTTATAATATTCTACTTTTGACTTACGGGTACTTCACTTTTTTCTGTAAACGTTGAGCAATAATCATTGCTTTGTCCTTCGTATAAGACCGTTTTGGAATTTAAAGATGAAATAATCACAACTACTTCTTTTCCATTTCCTTTTTCTGTCGCCTGAAATGTAATCAAACGTTATTCATCAGGTAATAAGACAAAATATTATCATATTTAGTAAGAATAATTACACTATTTTAAATTTATTTTTACAAAGCACTGGTTGTGGTATTGTTGTTATTGCTCTTATTACTTATAATGAAACTAAAACCAAAACTAAAAACTAATTTGAAAAAAGTCACATTCCACTACCAACCTTGTCGTGTTCATAACCGCTTTCTAGTTTGCCTGAACAACGGAACCGAAAACATTTACTCATAGTCAGTGGTAGTTGTAGTAGTACCGTAGTGTTGGAAGTTGTAGCAAGGGCTTTTAATTGTTACCAAGATAGGAAGCTGGCTGGTTTAAGCCGTCTAACTTGAATTAGCCTTATGTGTGGTTACGCTAATGAGGCAGATGGCCGATAATCACAATTTACATATGCTCAGTAAAACAAAACTTTCCTTAGCCACACTGTGTGTCGGCTAGACGTACAGCTAGACCTAGCAAAGAATTACGGTACGGTAAAACAAAGCAAAATAAGGGTACTAATTTCACGTGGCATGCAAATCAATCATACTTACACACTTAAAAACAAACTAATCTACCAATAAAATCACCTGCTAGTTAAGATATAAGGCAAATATGTTTACAAATTTGATTTTAAATAAAATTTTCATATATGATTTTGTTTCGTAGTATTACAATGAACATCACATAGGCTAGCCTAGGCCATGTCTAAATGCTTTAATATATAAAAATGCAGTAAAAAGAACCAAAAAAAATTACATTGAAGTTATCAATTAACTAGGGCACTAACATTATTCATATACTTACTAATTACCTATGAAAGTAAAATGTATTGCTCACACACGCCAATATTTTTTATTTTAATACGCCTTTTTACGATACGAGACATCTTAAGGTGATGACAAACAGTGGTGCGTAACAACAAAAATGAGATAAGCTAGGCCTAGCTTCTGTACGCCTAGCCGATACGCAGTGTGGCTAAGGAAAGTTTTGTTTTTCTGAGCATGTGCAGCAGATTGTGCTTATCTGCCTCATTAGCATAACAATACCACACATAAGGCTAATTCAAGTTAGACGGCTTAAACCAGCTAGCTTCCTACCCTGGTAACAGTTAAAAGTCCTTGGTAGTATTAGTAGTAATAGTATTAGTAGTAGTAGTAGTAGTAGTAGTAGTAGTAGTAGTAGTAGTAGTAGTAGTAGTAGTAGTGTAGTAGTGGTAGTAGTAGTAGTAGTAGTGGTAGTGGTTATGTTTGTGATAATGGGAGTAAGTCATAGTAATCACAATAGTATATACAGTTAGTACAGTGGTAAGAATTTCTTTAGTAGGTGAAATATTAACTGTAGTAGTGGTAGCTTACCTGTATTCGCATATTTTCCACAGCTCTTTCAACCTTAAAATTTTTTCCCAAATTCCAGTTAATGTCATCATCTGTCCACATGATAAAGGGCTCATATTCTTAAACAAAAATGGAAAAAAACACAAATATTTAAAATTATATGACCACCAGGAAAAAGTGGGTATTGAAAGCGGGCAATTTATTTACTCACCCGATATTCAAGGGAGGACGAGTTCGTGAAATTGAGTTTGTAATGCGATTCTTGCTTTCAACCATAGAACATACACTTCTAACATCAATAGGTCTTTATGAAGATATACACTCAGTACACTATTCGAAAAGTGTAAGGGATGCAGTTAAGGTTTTCCCTACTGTACTACACAGGAGGAAACCCTATTGATTATGGTAGGGGCTGCACTGTGCCAACACTTTTTTTTCAGTTTGACTAAAGATGTATTTTATTTCAACAAGCAATAGGGACATATTCGCATAGACAAACTGCTAACCATATTATTGATATCACAAGACGAGCAAGTGAAATATTATAATTGATATAAGCTTATTTAAGTAGGTCCATCTGTGTATTCATTGGATAAGTAGATATCTAGTTGTGTGTGTCTGTTTGAAAAAGAAATGTACATAAAGAATATGTATGTCAGCATATTATGTATTCATTGAACATGTATGTATGATTTATGTACAGATGTATGTGTGTTAAATTAAAATTAATTTAAGGGGCCTTTTAATTATAAACTTTGTTTTCTTACCATATGATTGGTTTTCGACATCTTCAAGTTTACCTCTAGAAGACGTACAGCCAGTAAACCTCAACTTAAATACATCCATTCGTTTCTTCGTTTGATAGACTGTATTTCAAATACACATTATTACAAAACAATAAAATAATTGTTTTTAATAAAATAAAAACGTTTATACCGGTAGTTAATAAGAGTCAAGTCTATTTATTGATTAATATTTCAACGCATTATATAGCAACGGTATTAGGCAAACGCTTAAATGGTTTAAGCATAATTTACATATTAACATGTACCAGTTATTCTTAATTTTTTTTTTAAGTTTGATTTATTACTTAGTTGTTGTGTCTATTATTTATTTAAGCATTTAATAACATTATTTATCAGTATTATGCAATTAGATGGAATGTTTTGAATTAAGTTTCAGTGGTGAAATGTTACAATAGGCCTATTGTTTTAAAATATTACAAAAATGATCACAACTACAGACAGTTACATGTTTCATTTCGTTATTCATGTCACATCAACATGTATGTACGTCTGGACTTTTTCGTTTTGGGGTTGGGTACCAAAGAAAGAAAACGGAAATTAAAAAAGAAAACATACTGATAAATTGTCAAAGGATTGGAGTTCCAAAGTTTAGGTTTAAAATAATGTAAGTTTTTATAAAAATAGGTCTAATATTCGATAAATCGTGTATAATTCATAATACGCTGAGAAAACACTGAATGTGGATCGGATCTAAACTTCTTTAAATTGATGTAGTGCTTTTCATTGCTTTTTTTTTCTAAGAGTTTATTATCCTAACCCTCAAAATAATGCATATTTTTGTTTAAGGCTAAATAAACACTATTATACAAATAAATAGGCTTATCACAATTAGACTTGCCACGTTTTATCCATCCACCGACAACAAGTCGTCCATTTGATAGCTTTTTCCCGCTGAGAGGATCTATGGATGGCACAGTAAAATGATAATGAGACATAATTTAAAATAGAAACCTTTACTACTCACTCTCATCATCACCTTTATCATCAGCAGCAGCAGCAGCTGATATGCTTAAACTCTTGTGCCCTTATTTGTATTTGTACATTAAAATTTGTGTAATGTCAATAACTGTAAAAAAAAATGTCCCTTTCTATTCAACATGGCGGCCTAAGTTTCTCGACGATAATTTATCTGATCAGTAACAACATTCACCGACCTCAGCAGTGACGTATCTATGGGATGCCATGGGTGAGTTTAAAGACGTTTCTCAAACAACTGGCCCAACGCCGCCATTCCTGCCCCAAGGCCCACCACTGGAAATTGGTTTAACAAAAATTCATGTAGGCCTATATTTTTTGCATAACTTTTTTAAATGGTGAGTGTGAGGTCTATTCATAGATAGGGTGCAAAAAATACGAAAGTAAACTGGTTTTATTACCTCTATCAGAACATCTATTTGTGGCTGATAAGTGGTCTGTAGGTCTTTAACAATTTTTATTAGAAAATTGTTTTAAGTTATTATCATTGTCTAAATGTTCTGTTTCCTAGGCTAACAACTCACCAAATTTAATCATTTCAACAGGTCCCTTAGATTCCAATGTTTCAATGATATTATTGATTAATTTGAAGGTTCCACCTGGGAAAAAAGAAACCAACTTTCCTAGAATTCGTCTGTCTTTAGATACGTTTATATATCCAATGAAGATATATGAATGGAATTTGCCGGGGAGTGCAACGGAGCTCAACAACTCTTCTCTGAAAGCAGATTTAAACGTAGTCATTACATTCTATCACATTGATAATCCCTAACCACACGTGAATCCTTTAAACATATCAAAAACTCATAGTTCTCTTTTCCCCACAATAGGTAATAGAACACCCACAACCTGTTCCCCTATGACCATATGTTCTTAATTGCCACTTGCCTCCTCACCCCGCAAAAATATTGGGTAGATCAGACTGTTATTAGTTGTTAACCCAACAAAAGTCTTACGCTATAGTATTCTCTCTAGGCGGCTGGGCCTATATTAGGTATTAAATATTATATCTTACTCTGGTTTAAGTAAATTGTTGGCAAAATCGTTCCATATGATAGTAAGTTTGTTGTGTTCAGATTGAAGTTTACCAGCACATGTGATATAGCGTAATATTGTCTTATCTTCTTCGTGTCCTTCCTCTTTTTCTTTTTCCATTTTTAGTGCAAATACATACACTTGATCATTGAAGATAATTCCAATTGGGCTAAAATGATAATCATGAATTAGTATCATCAACGACAGGCAATAAACAAACAACGATTTAGTACAATAACAACATATTGTAAGACTTTATTTAAATGCTTTTTGCATTAGAAAACTCTTTGTTTCAGGCATTGCCACTTCAATATTAAACATTGTTGCTTTTTCAAATTACAATTTCTATTGTATTAATATATATATATATATATATATATATATATACATACATGTATATATATAATTATATATAATATTATATATATATATATAATTGTTTTCAAGTTATAATTTGTCCACTATTTTGGGTGTTTATTGTGAAACAAATTATTTACGTATGTACAAAGGATCTATTCCAGAATAATACCGATATATTTTAAAATAAACATTAGTAATCTAAAAATGCAAAACCAGACGTATGTTTTCAGTCAGTTATTTTACATTGGTTGGTATGTTATATAAGCGAACCACACATTTTTAGATCAAACAGTACGTTGGCCTATCCTGTATGCATATCAAGTGGCAAAAATATATACCTAAGATTATAAATATACACATAATTTTGTATATGTATAATTTATATATAAACACTGCATAGAAAATTTATAAAGAGATAAATAATAACCTCATTTAAGTTAAATTGCCTCATTTAAATAAATGCATATTGATTAGACTTCTGGTAACTTGTACTGTATTATAGTTTGTCTCTTTGTATTACGTATTACCGTATTTCTAATCCTAATGCTTATTTCGACTATAATTATTAATATATTATTATCATTGTGTCTATTATTATTGTTAGGAATACCACCATAGGCTTACTATAAAAATGCAGCTAGGCAAACCAAAATCTCACCTTATGAACTGCGTATTGTGGATGTTGTTCCTGAAAATGGCATCTGAATAAAAATAGTACGGTACTGCTTTAGTAGTATACTCGAATGCAATGATACACTATTTTATGTAAACGCTTATAAATCGGAGTACAGTATAGAATCGGTGCAAAATGATGAAACATTGTTTGGATAGGTCTATATAAACTTTATTTTGGCTACTTGTGCTAGGTATATTGTTACTTACTGTTGAGTTTGACAAACGTTTTTCCATAAAATGTGTGTCTTAGACCTTGTATTTGTGGCCCACGAGACATACGTGGGACATCTTTTATCTGTAGTGTGTATATGTACTGCCCTTCATCATCATCCGTGACGTCATTAAGTGAAAGGTATCCCGTTGCACCATGTTTACCATTTTTATTCAATTGAAAACTAACTTCGATTGATCCACCGCTACCACTATCTTCATATTTCCTGATTTTCCTTGTATCTTTATATTTCTCTCTTTTCTTTTCACCTGCTTTGTTGCCAGATGAATAAAGTGTGTGTAATTTGTTTTCTGGCCAGTTACACGAATGCAAGAGCATGGTGCAAAATGGTTTATGGTATCCGTCTCTTATTTTAAAGCAGGAATGTTCTGGTTTATAAGTTGACATAAAATTTGCTTTGGCGCATCCTCCCCTTGCGACTGTTAAGACTTTATCGAAAAATGTTAAGCCTTCTTCATAATCTGTTAAAAAAATAAAATACATTGACATATTCATTATCGTATTAATTCGAATACACGCCACACTTTAAATAATCGCTCCCCTTAGAATTAACTTTACCTAGCCTCATTTGGAATAAATGCCTCCCGCGAACTAAGCAAGTCTAATGAAAGCAAACATCGTTCTAATACTGTTCAACAACAGTAGAATTACAATGGTTTCTAACCTGGCTGGGATTAATAAGTCTTTCATGGTTCAGTAGTTCCACGTTTGCAACATATCCAAATTACACTTTAAAAAAGACAATTGATTAAAAGTTTGTTTACCCTTGTATTGGTATTCTGCTGGTAAAAAATCATCCAGTGCTGGCTCTATATTTATTTGATTTTTCTGATTTTTTTTAATTACAATTTTATTTATCTGGAAAAAAATCAAAGTAACATGATTATCTAATTTTTTTAAAATTTAACTAATGCATTGTTAGAATTTTTATTTAATTAATAAAGTTTTCACAAAATACAGAAGTGAAGAATACGGGCCAACAGGTGACGGACACGTCTACAAGGGACCGTTCCTTACAATAGAAACACAAAAATTAAAATAAATATTTACAAAATGAACAAATAAATTTGAAAAAAAGGTGGAAAAGTCAGGAAGTAAAGGAAAAACAACCACGACGACAATAGAGGGGACATTTGAACATTGCTTTAAAAAAAGCATTTTTACCATCTAAGAGTGCAATTTCCGAATGTCCATGAAGAGGTGAGGTTGGTGTGGCATTCCTATTGGGCCCCAGTCAGAAAATTTCTGGATCCACCCCTGCAAACAAAGTGGTCCGTGACTTCATTTTACATCATGGGGGTATTTGCAAAGTGGTGAAGTCTCCGTCCCAGAGTAACTCATCACCCCATGTGTCCATTTGCAAGGCAAACTTCTACTATATACTTTGACTTTCTCTTAGAAACGAAATGGTTACCACGTAAAACGTCAAAAAGTAACTCCATATGGCAATGACTCTTAATTGAGATGGCCTACGAGTTTAGTATCATGGTTAGCCAACAGGGCCATAATGAAAACGACGTAGTCTTTTTGTAAACGTCGTTACGTTGTTCAATTCCAACCAATCTCAAGCTTTAAACAGCGCCAAAAGGGCCATAATAAAAAGCACCGTAAACTTGTTTAAGAAACGGCGCTCTGTAACAATAGCAAGGGCCATAATAAAACCGGCGTTAGTTTTATTTTAACGCCGTCACGTTGTTAAATTTCAACCAATCACAAGCTTGAACAGTGCCAAAGGGGCCATGATAAAATCGCCGTTTAGTTTTATTTTAACGCCGTTGCGTTGTTCAATATTTTTATAGGTTGTGCCGAAAGAGCCATAATGAAAAGGCCTTTACGTTGCTCAATCTCAACCAACCACAAGCTTCACACAGCACCGATAGGGCAATAATAAAAGCACCGCATTCTGAAAACAATATATGTATCTGACGGAAGGCCCAAACATTCAGCCAATCACATTCCTTCTTTCATTTATTTTGTGCAAGTATCTTGTCGGCACACAAGGCAAATGTAATGAAATACAAAAAGAAGATTCTCACTCATTACGGAAGATAAATTATCCGATTAAAACTCGGTTTCTGAACCTTTCGATTGATTTGTTGTAGAGTTAACCTATTCCTAGAAGATGCAATTTACGGACATCCATTGTTTAATAATTGCGGGAGTGTAGCGTGAGCATGTGTGCAGTGCCGAAAAATTATATAAAATTCCATGAGAGATGGAATGTGATTGACTGAAAGTATATGGCTCTTTCGCCCCAGATACTGTGAACGGCGTTTTCAGAACGGCACTTTTTTATGGCGCTGTTTCAAGCTTGTGATTGGTTGAAATTAAACAACGTAACGGCGTTAAAATAAAACTAACTCCACTTTTATTATGGCGTTTTTGGCCAACATATAATAATATTCAACAACGTAACAGCGTTAACATAAACAACTAACGCCGCTTTTATTATGGCCCTTTCAGCGCTGTTTCCAGCTTGTGATTTGTTGAAATTGAAAAAAGTAACAGCGTTAAAACAAGTTAAAATAAAACACCGCTTTCATAGTGACCCTTTTGGCAAATCTTATAAGTACAGCGTTTTATAATAAACGTTTGCGGCGCTTTCGGCGCTGTTAAAGCTTAGGCCTATGACTGGTTGGAATTAAACAACGTACGGTAACGGCGCTAAAAAAAAAAGGCAACGATTTGCATTATGGCCCTTTGCATTATGGCTAACCATAAGTTTACACACATTGAAGTAAATCATACGTTATTATTAATTTATTATGTGCTATGTGAAACTTACATAGTCATCAAAGCGATGTATATTTTCCTCACGATTCTTCAAAAAGTATCTGGCTATCACAACTAAGACGCCTATCATCAGAACGGGGATAATGATGAACACTAGCCAAATCTGAGAACTGGATGACGAGGACGGAATTTGTTCTGTAAAAGGTGTTTTTTAGGATAAATAAATAAAGGATTGCAGTGTTTATTACAAAATACAGTATAAATATTATAGCGATGTAATGTAAATAAAAAAAGATCGTATAATAATTATTATGATTAGAAGATAAAGTAAACATATTACGACGTTTATTAACATTCTCGCCATCAGGAATTTGGAGAGGGAAAGAAAGACAGAAAAAAGGGAAGGAAAAAAAAACAGTACCAGCCACTGATAGATTTTTAGCAAATGTTAACACTTTTCAGAAGCTCGTTGAGAATGCGTATGTGGCCAGATTGTCATGTAATGAATGCCACAAGACCTACAAAGATTTTAGCTTTACAATGGTACTGTTACAACCGTTAATGTAGAACACTCCACAGCTAATGTAGTAAAACTCCCCGCTAATGTAGAAACACCAACAGCTTATGTGGTAAAAAGAAAATCAACCCCAGGTAATGTAAAACGCTCAACAGCTAATGTAGTAACGAAAATTGCCTCAAAGCTAATGTAACTACTATCGTCAGCTAATGTAGAATATTGTATAAAATCAAATTGGAACATAATGGAGATTACTATCTTTAAACTATTACGTCTTTAAATTAATATCAGCAGTACTTCATTTCCTCTTCCGTTTTGATGCTTGTTTGTTGTTTGCCATCTCACATTATATTCCTCAATGAATATTGTTCTATGAATAAATTATGAGATAAAGTACCTCAGACGGGAATGGAACCTGTGACCTCTTGCTGTCTAGTTGAACGCCATAACCACTAAACCAGCACCATTTTATCATATAATAAGGTATTTTATATGGCTATATTTTTTTTTTTTATTTTGCTATATACCAAAGGAAAGTCTTTCTTTCTGGCTGTTTACTTTACATATAATAAGATCAGGGGCGATCTGGGTTGAAATTTATGGGAGGGGGAGGGGACCAGACAGTTTAAAAAAATAAATAAAAAAAAACAAAGGGGTGTGTCCTCCCCCAGGAATTTTTTATTCCTAGATGGCAGAAAATGAGCTTTCCTGACTTCTGACATATCTTTTAATGATTTAAGTTCTTCAAAATTCAAGTTTTTATGCCATCTTGAAACTTCAAAACGTTCAGGTAAATGTTTTCATTCTTATTACAGATAGGCATATCATGTCATATAGGTCTATGTAACATTAATTGCATAAGTGTTCTTTTTTCCATGAATCGATGAACCCCAAAGAAGGAGGTTGGGTGTCCTCTTCGGAAAAAAAAATGATTCCTAGATGGCGGGAAATGAGCTTTTCCGACTTTTGAGGTGTCTTAATGATATTTAAGTCATTAAAAGTTTAGGTTTCCCGCTCTTAAAAACGATTCAATGAATCGATGAACCCTAAAGAAAAAGGGGTCTGGGTTCTCCTCGGGAAAATTTTGATTCCTAGCTGGCGGCGGGAAATGAGCTTTCCCACTTATGAAGTGTCTTATTGACTTAGTTTCTTCAAAATTCAAGGTTTACCCCTCTTACCACTGAGTTATTAGGCATATTACAAACAGCGGCAGTATTGATAGACTACTTGTAAATGGCTTTGAAAGACTATGTGGATGGGGGAGACACCACGAAGGAAAAGGTTTCTTATTCATCTGTGGGTAGACAACTATAACTGTCAAATTAACCATACACGGCGTCGAACTTAGAAAAAAAAATCTTTTTTTTTTTTCAATTTTCCCAATCCTACAATAGAAGACATGTGACCAAAGGGTGATAAACTAATCAATTTTTTATTGGGCCTGCTTACCACTACCTCCTATCAAAATGATGACAAATCGATGTCATGCCAATATCTGCTGTTCAGCACCCTTGTCACATCTCCATTAATTTTAATTCAGTGCAGTCAGTAAAATGTATACTCATCAAAATAATACGTCCATAGTATACTATACATCATCTTGATTGGTATACTTTTGTGCTGTTTTGCAGTTTAGTATAAAACAGAAAATATCATGCTTTGCTTAAAATGTAATGTGCTTTTCATTACATGGTTACTGTATTTTTATATATAATAATAAAAAAATGTTTGCTTAGTTACACTCTTTTAAAAACAGTAAATACATTTGTTTTTTCTTTTTCCTTTTTTTCTTTTTCTTTTTTAAGCGCCGCTCTCAAATAAGCGCCGCTCTCAAAAAATGCGACGCACTGAAGCCTCCAAAAATTGTATAAACGCCGTGGCGCTTATTCAAGCAATACGGTAAAATAAGAGGCGAAGGTAATCCACCATGACGTGTAACATTATTAACATCAATCTTTTCACTACAATTTTTGTCCCATTTAACCCAAACAGTAAGTTTTGTATACCACCTAAGTAACAGAAGCCACTAATCGTCAGTAATTACGTCTGAAACCTTCATAAATCCACAGTGGCAGCGCCAGCGTCTGAATTTTGGGAGGAGGAGGGTTCATTTGAGGGGCAAGGTAAAACATTTTTTTAGTGGGGTGGGGAATAATATGCTGGGGTGGCCCGAAGTGGGCATGGTCGGGTTTCACTCTAAAAGTCTTGAAAGTGGTCCAGGGAGCGAAGCCTTCGAAAAATATGACAATTTAGGGATTTTACAGATAAATCATTTACTAATAAATAGCAAATACAAACCAATTTCTCTCTCCGACGAATTGAGGTTTATTTTCTTTTTTTTTTGAAAAGGAAAACTGTGCCAGTTGTGGGCTTTGATGTGTTGATCATGTTTATCAATGTTGTTAGCGATGTTAACAACGATACCATCCTGTATCTTATACACATCT